CACAGGTCACAAAAGCCGAAGAAAAAGGTCTTTTATTTGCCTATTTGAAAGAAAACAAGACTATAAGGAGAAGGTAAGCAGCAAATCTCTTTGTAACAATGTCATTGTCTCTCTGTATCAAGCAAAGATCACCAGAGAAAGGGCAAAATTAAATCAACTTAAAAGTGACATAAATTATACTGTACATTCACACATTGCAAATAAGAGAAAAAACTGCCAAAACCCCTGCAATCTTTAAATCTGCTGCGTGTTCAGTCTTGACCAATGTTTCCAAATACTGGGAGCACTGATGGGAGTAAAATTCACTAATAATGAAGCAGCACGCTCCTTTTGGCTTTGCATATGCAGAATACTGTAATGCGAGAGTTCTTGCAAAAAAAAAGAAAGTTTAGAGCCTTCAAACTACAAAAAAAAGGAAGCAAAATTATCCATTAAACTCTTCCAAAGCTTGTGCAAGTCTCTTCAGGATCAATAGGAATTCTCATTCCACACGTCTGCCAAAGAAGTGCAACAACTGATGGCCATAAAATTAATTCCAGCCAGTTATCATCATGAAAACACTTGCTGTATTCTGATTATATTATATACAATATTGCTGATTGTGCTGCATTCAAACTCATGAAACAGGATAGAAAACATCTTTGCAATGTGAGTAGAGAAACTCAAACAATGCCTAATGAAAACTCAAAGCCAGTCATCCACTGCACATCTGCCAGTAAAACTCCTGAAGATAACAAAAGTTCTGCATTCAATCTTGCAAAAATGTTTATTTAGATACCCACTTACACAGAGGCATGGCAGCTCCAAATCTACACCACTAGAAGACTGATCAAAAGGAGTATAGCATGAAAATTTACACTGATGAAAACTTTGATGATAACTATGAAACATGTAGCTCAGGTCTCAGAAATAATTCACAATACACTTAACATTAGAAGGAAAAATATACTTGCTTGAAACATCTTCAACAAAGGGACATATACACTTTTTTACGTATAAAAAGTAAATTTTATAAATTACATGCAAAGCTTGAAAGGGTTATGGAGATAAAATTTAAATGTATCACTGCCAGGTGGGAAGGAATCGCCACTGAGTGTGCTGTACAGTACAGAGTACTGTCCCAGCCTATTGCTTGAGGAATGGTATGGGATCTAAACAAGAGCTACAGATATGGAAGTTTTTCTGTATGTACTTTTCAAATGTTTATGTTGTTGAAGCCTCAGATAAGGCACTGTACCTACATCAACAAACCTTACTGTTCCTTTTGGTCCCAAAGCAATTAAAAAGAGGGATAAAGTTTACAGAAGAAAACAATAACTAAAACATTTTCTCATACACATCTCTAATCTACAGAATGCAATTGCCATAAATTTTATACTCTTCTGAATGAGAAAGTAAATCAGACATTCTTGTACCCCAGAAGCACTAAAGCACCATCATGGCATGGCAATGCATCCAACAAAAACTATGACAGTCTGTCCAACTCTTTACCTACTGCACCAATTATGAAAGCATGGGGTTACACTACAAAATTCACTCTAAAATTCAAAAATTATGAATAAACATAAAGAACTTATTTTTTCTTAAAGTAAAGCATTTGCTTAAATAACATCAAAAAGGAAAAAAACAGTAGTCTCACTAAGGTTTGTATTTTAGATTTTTACATTTATTTTCCTTCTGTGTCTGTTCTCAAAGCTGACAAACACTGAAAAACAGAGCAGGTTCTTAAAAAAGACATCCTAAAAAATTATCATTCAGACAATTACATTTTTGGTCAAATAACATACAGTAAACTCTATTCACTCATTTCCAGTGACAAAGACCCTGCTATTCCCAATGTATTCTTACAAAATGCTGCATTTGGGCAGCTCCTTTTAATTGACACAACAATCAGGAGTTGCTATTTTTCAAAATGTAGTGATCTCTCTGAAATGGATACAAACGAGCTTCATGGCCAAGTACAGCTTCAGGTCAGAAACATTTAGTCTCACACCACAAGGCTGCCATTCAGGGCACATTAAGAGATGACACAAAAGTGAGCTCCTGACAGTGATCCCTAAAGGACACTGTGCCCTTGGGAAAGCAAAAATTGTCACATGAGACTAAGGAGACACAAAGTTTTCTGCAATCAGAATATCCTCAGTAGGAGAATGAAGGAAAGGGAAGAAGAATTGTGCTTGACTGAAAAAAAGACAGGAAACAAAATTACATGGTTTAATGCTAAGATTGATCCAAACGATTGCAGGGAGACTAACCAGAGAAAAGAAGGGTGGAATTTAGACTTCATACAACAGTACTGGTACCCTGATCAGTGGATTTAAACACAAAAAAAGAGAATATTAAAATTCCAGAGATAAGCTCACAAAAAAACCCCAAAACCAATCCCCCCAAACACCAGGTTTTAAATAGCTTGGAAAAGATGCAGATTGATGAATCTACTTTGAAATTAGTACTCAACACAATGACAAAAGGGAAAAAATTGATCTGTTTGAACTAAAATGAAGTTGCTTTATTTAATAGGGAGACCTATTTCTTAAAATAAGTTCCCATAGTTACCATAAGCTGTGTTTCATAGGTTTGATGTTGACCTAAAGCACCTTCTTCTAAGTCTTTCATATAGGATTTTTTCAAAAGATTTGAAATACATGAGCTTCTAGCCTAAGCTCTACAGTGACTTTATAATGAAATTAGGTTTTGTTACATGCTTAAAATAATCAGAGTTTCTAGAGCTCAGATTCATCTCAGTTTTCATCCCTATATTGTCAAAACGCATGAAATAATTTTTTTTTTCAAACACAAAACCACTTACTCCCTGAAAATAATTTCTGTGCTAAGGAGAGAGCATAGACTCCTGACCCCTTCCCCACTCCTTGATTCTTTCAGCTGGTACCATGATAAAAACCCCAAGCACTGAAGAGAGGAAGACAGGGTATGAGTCCCAAAGATGCACCACAAATCACACTCACGTCAAGTTAACCAGCTGCTCGCTCTTCAAGCACCTACAATGGCAAGGGTCCTTCCTGGAATGAGCTAGCAGTTAATTTCTTACCTAAATAAATACAGTGGTAATGATCAACCAGAAATTACCTGCATTTTTCCTGTTTTGTCTAGGTCTGACCAAATGTAATCAGCTTACAATTACACTAAGTAGCTTGCTTAGCATTCTATTTATAAAACTGATTAGATGCTGCTAAGCAGAGCAGGCAATGTTTTAACACTTTATTTTGACGTTGAAAGCAGTGGCTAGGAGAAAGGGAGCAAGGATGGCAGAGAATAAAAAATCATTCAGAAAACTGTAGAAAGATAATTATATGGGACCAATTCTGTTGCTTTATATGCATTTTAAAATTGTGTTACTTGGTTAAATAGCACATATTCAGAATTTTGGATTCATTAGTCTTAGGTATTTAGATAACTCAAGTAGGTCTGAACAAGTGAATATTCAGCCATAACTGACTGCTGTTGATTCTTCTTGGAGAGAGACTATGGAATTGCCCTGACCTGGGAAAGAGGCAATCCAGGCTGCAGGAAAATTACAGACTATTGCTGAGGCCCTGGCCTGAGGTTAAGACAATTGAGCAGGATGTGAAAAACTAAAGGGACATGACAGGAGAAATTGCCAGATGTGACAGATAACATAGTCAGATACTGACAAAAGCCACAGATAGGACCATGAGGGATGACTGGATTTCACAAGTGTTTAAAGGTGAGTTAGATAAGAAACAGCCAAATTTCACAGAAAACTGAAGGGGGACCTTTAAGGTATTGGAGACCTTCTGACCTTTTGGAAGGTAGAACCTGCAACATCAGTACTCCTTCAATAACTGGACCTGGTAACACCACAGAAGCCTAAGATTCCCTACATAATAACTGAGAACCACTAGTGAAAAAATAATCAGGGGTGAATAGATCTTTTAGGAAGAGACTTGGATTTAAAAAAGACATTCAAATAAAAAGAGCAACAAGAATGGCAAGGAGGGTGAACACAGATAAGCTAAGGAGAATGTGGCCAGTGCTGTCTGGCACAGTCCCACCTTCGATCACCACATCCTCATCAGAAGTCTGAGAACCACTTGTTCTGACCTTACCACATGTATCAAACTTGCTTCCACAATCAAGGAGGCAAGGAGAGTGCCAGGGTGCTTTCCCTGGCTAACAGCACGACTCCTGCCTGGACAGATCAAGTAACCTGGTTATCCCCATGTCAGTTCAACATCCACATCCACATCCACCCACTCCTCCCTAATAGGCTGTCAGACACTGTCTTTGACAAACTGCTTCAATTCAACTCCTCATTTCCTAATTTATATAATGAATGCAATACTGCTTTTCTTATCTCCTTTTATTAGGTTATTTTTGGCACTGGTGGTAACAAAAATCAAGGAAGTCAACAGTTATTTAAGGGCTTCATATTTTTCTCTTGCTACTTTATCTTTTAGGCTAACCTGAAGCTCATGAGTTCAAAGTTCTGAATTTTCATACATACTGCTGTAAGTTGAACTCTGATTCCAAGAATTAATGCCCCACTTTTACAAGTAAGAGAATGGCAGGAGATTAATACCTTTCATACAGAGTAAAAGGTACTTATAGGATTGGATACTGATAGTACTGAAAGGAAAATAGAGGAAAATTCAGTTCCTAACCTGACAGGTACTTGGGAAAAAAAAAAAAAAAGGAATCCATAAACCAGGGCAAGGGATTAAAAAAAACAACAGTTTATCTGTGCTTATTAACAACAGCCCTTATTTCAATTCTTTGTGGAGAATAATAAACATGACTTAATCTTAACAACAATGTTGTGATAATTTTCCAAACACGTGTACTCTTTGTTCATCACTAAGACATTCAATGAATCTACTACAAATTTGCAACGTCCTGTCAAAGACTATTGTTTCTTTAGAAGATGAAAATAAAAGGGATAATATTATATATGGGGGGGGATAATTACAAAAGGCTTGTATTGTATGCTAATTTATATTTAGAACAAGTGTTTTATTTACCTTTTTGTTTTCTTGTAGTTTTCCAGCTGTAATGTCTGCATACATTTGTACCTTTCCAATTCACACTGTTCACATAGTTCCTCAAGACACAACAGATGATTCTCCATTTCCTCAAAGTTTGCCTCTAGCTGGGCTGTAAGAAAGACTTGTATAAATATCTAACTGCATCAATGGACAGACAACTCACCTGAATAGAAACAGGATTTCATAAAGGTAAATAATTAACATGGTGATAATTACACACATATAAATGGCTCCAAAAGACAAACAAATCTCAGCCCAAATCCCATAGTGGCAGCAGAGCCACGTTAAAGGGAGATCTATCTGAGGTTCCCTTGTAGTAAGGTGCTGAACCACTCTATTTGTCCCAGCATCACGGTGACACAGGCTCCTGGCCTGTTTTTGAGGAAGAGAAGCACTCAGAACTCATACTTTTCTTTCTTGAGAGACTGCCAGTTTAGCACTTCCTACACAGTACCAATCCAAGGAATAAATCTGTGCTGGCCAAAGCCAGGTCAAATATTCATTTATTCAAATGAAACAAAAATAAAGCGTACAGGGAGAATTTTAACTTTCACATGATGCCATGGTAATATAAAAGAATAGATATTTATGTCTCTGAAGACAGACCCTTTACTGATAGCTAAATATAGAGATGTACCTATTTTACATACACATGCAAATTTTACAATTAAATCTACCTATTTTACATGCACATCTCTTAATATTTTCTTTAAACATAATTGCTCAGTCTCAACTTCAAATAGATCTTGTCTATGACATGTCTTGAGAAAACTGATCTCATTTCATAGCTCACATTGCTTTGAGTAGAAATTTGGACTAGACAATTCCTGAGGTCCCTCCTCATTTGAATTAAACCATGTTAACCTTGTATCAAAGAATCACTTTCCCTGACGGTGATTAATGCTAAATTTCATGTCTCTTCTCAGGATCTCACAGTGGAAAATATATTTTCCCAAACCCTAACCAGCTCGTCACTCTGGGATGAAACTGTGTGAACTACAGGAATATTGTTCATCTTTTTGCCAGGCCTTCTCCTATACCACAGGGAAGGTAAATTGCAGGAGCAAGAATAATTCACATTTTTACAAACAAATAGCAGCCAGAGTTAATGTATTTCAGATGCTCAAAAAAAGGAAACAGGAAGCTGAAGGCATCAGTCAAATCCTCCATTCTGGCTTGACCATTCTACTTGATGCCTATCTTGGACAATAAATAATTTCAACTTCCTTAGCCATTGCTTCATGATAAATAGCCATCCTTGTGGTTCCTCTAAAAAAGCAGAAGTTAAGACTTCATAAGCAAATTTCCTAGGATGCATATTCATATGTTCAGCTTCACTTAACACCATTTTTTTAGCCCCTAACAAAGAAGATCCACAACAGGAAAGGGAAACAGGAACAATATAATCAGTAAAAATTTCCCTAAATTATTTTTCTGTATACAGATCACTGAGGGGAAGTGGGAGGGATTGGCAAAAAACAACAAAAAATAAAGAAAGGCAATTGACAATTAATGCAGAAACAAGTTTGAGGAGAAAAAAAATGTTTTCAGTTCTATGTATTGTGATGTGGAACATTCATCGCTTACCACATACTCAATTTTCTCTCACAAAATCCAGATGTATTCAAAGCGTAATATCATGATTACAATTATGATTGGTAGGCCCTTTTTCTTTAAGAAATAGACTTCTCTGAGTGCATTAAAATCCAAATACCTGTATTGTGCTAACTTGCTTTTCAGAATAATTGCTCCCTTATTAATCTGCAAAATTCTCAAACACAGCAGGACTGAAAATAATTTACTAAGGTACCTATCAACCACTGTTTTTTCCACTTAAAATGCCTACCACCTGCTTTGCTGTATTTGCTGTTGAAATAATATTAAAAGACAACAACAAAGAATAGGAAAATAAAGAGGATGAAAGAAAGTGAATTCTAGAGAGCAACTGATTTCTAGCACTTGCATTCGAGCAGCCTCTAGCGGGAACTGCAGAAAACACTGAGCTCCTGAAGAAGAGAAATGGACGCCAGAGATCTCTCCAGGAGGCAACAATTCTGCTTTACTGCAACAGAGGATTCAGAATTTTTTTCCTTTCTGAAGTGAAAGAAAAATTGCTTTTCACAAAAAAATTGAAGACAAGCTCCGTTGCAGCAGCTACAGCTGAGAATTAACATCTCTCTTACCCAAAAGAGAATATATGCACTGCGCATACAAAGGCAGTGCCAAACAAAACTATAGACTTAATTAATTTGAAACTTAGGCTGAGAAAAATGCATCTCCTCTAAATCTTTTTCAGATTTTAAAAAACATATTTACCTTTAGATTAAGACTTTTCATATACAGCAATATGCCACACTTGGTAGAAATAGTATTTTTTTATTAGACAGCTAAAACAACCAAAAAACTTCTTTGTGCCACATCACTCCAATAATAACAGTTAGGGCTGTATTTCTTACTGTACCACAAGCATAACAACAGTATTTGAAACTTTAATTCTTAGTTTTAATTCTTTTGAAGTATGTTTAAAGTTTGGTCAAGTGACATTACACTGTATTATCTTCTATCAGCATACAGTGTTTTCCATGGTTTACCAGCTATCAGGTATTAAAGTATTTATGTAGAACTCAATAACCACGAATTTTTTCTATCCAGGAAACACTTTCTTTCTAAACTGTACCTAATTTAAATGTACCACATAACTTTTCTAACTGAAACCTATGTTATTTGTAGTTCTGTATGAGTACAAAATTTGTTAGAATAGCTAAATCACAGTTGTATGTCAGAAAATAGGTCTCCACTAACTTAAGATGTAGCTTTCCTACACTGTCCCAGCCATTCAAACAACAGAAACCATGCAGGAGTATTAAAGACATTTCTACAAAGCCCATTTATTTTCTGACTAAAAGGGAAAAAGCAGAAAGGATGGAAGCAATTATATCAAAGATGTTCCCTTTACCTCTAGGCCACACTGGGGCAGAGATTACTAAAAGTTTAAAATGAGCAGTGAAAGACATATATGAACAGGAGGAGCTCAATTTAGCTGCAACAAAAAAAACCAACAAAAAACCAAAACCAACGAACCAACCAAAAAAACCCACCAACAAAAAAACAACACAAAAAAACAAAACAAAAAAAACTCACCAAAACAAAAACTTTATTATATAATTACAGTTCTAGTAATGCTCAATTTTTATCTGTTTTCACAGAAAGGATCTTAAACCCAGCTAGTATTATAGCACTTCCATGAAGTTAGAGCAGCTTCTTTGCTGAAACTACATAACAAGTACACTAGAATCCTTTTCCTTGTGTACTCAATCCTCAGGCACTTCCAAGTTTACAGCACCAAACTGTATGCCTTTTATACATATATGTATATACCTAATACAACAACCCCTTCTGCTGAGTGTTGTGCCCTGGAGCCTATGGAGAAAAATTCCCTGTTGAACACAGATGTCTTTACACAATATTATTCAAATTCTCTGGTTTTACATAAATCTTCCCAACATTTTCCCTGATTTTTTCAGTAAAAGATAAATGCAAATTCTGAAAAAATTAGACGAATTTTGCAAAGCTAGAGAATGGCAACTTTCATACTTGACACACAATCTGAAATAAAAAAAAGACTGACCTTTTGCTCAAGATATAAACAAGGATGCTTCTCCTAAGCAGTGCAAAACGTTCTGTTTCCCCAACAAATTTTCACACCCATCTAGCCCTCACTTAAAAAAAAATCTGAAAGACTAAGAGGCAAAGGCTTTTATCTCTAAATGACTACATGCCCAGCCTTATTTTCTTTGCAGTCCCACGAGGAAAACATTTTTAACCTATGTTGGATCTGTCACCTATATACAAGAGCAGTCTTTCTGAAACCAGTATCAAGCTGATCTTTAAAAGAAAAAACAAAAAATAGGGAGAAAAAAATGATTTGGATTAATGCTTGTGTGTTTGGATTTGCTGAAACCAAAACTGATGTTTGAGCAAAATGCCACTGCTCAAACATGAAAACACATTTCATACTAAATATGCTGATATCAGCGAGGAGATATTTTCTACAACATCTCAACCAAAAACTGGCTTAAGTGATGATTCCAATTCTGCACTTTGAAAGGGCAATAACTGTCCTTTCCACTTTTACATGAGAGTAACTTTTTTCTTCAAAATTCTCAGTAGCAGCTACAAGACATTGCATAATTCAATAAATTTATCAAATGAAGCCACAGATTTTCTACTTCAAGTGAGGGATGACTGATAATGTGAATACCTAAGCTAAAGAACTTTATAAAATTGCTAATGAAAATGTGTCCTGTAATACATAGCAAAAGCTAAAGAATCTGTACATGAGTCATACCAATTTTAAGTAGGTCACTAAAAAGATTCATTTCCATTATCTGAAATTTCTTTCACCAAAAGCAGCCAGGGTCCCCTACTTACTCTCAAAATGGAAGCATTAATACATTTATTAGAAGCATATCATGTCAGAAGAACCAACTATTTTGTTGAAATGATGAAGGTTAGCCAAATTACATCTTGAGTGCGTAACTCAGCACTTTGTGATTCTATTTTCACTTTTTTTTACAGAATATTTTACTCATATTCAAAATTTACAGTCAGAGAAATAGTCATTTCTTGAATAGCTGAATACAGTTTATATTTATATGAAGCAATTATTTAAGAGTTATAAAAACTAAAAACAATGAGCAGAATATTGCAGTGAAGTTCTGTTAAATCACCTTCAGACAGTTAGATTTGGTACAAATTACATCTATCTCTTCAAATAGACTCCATAAAAATTATTAGAAGAAAAAATAAAACCCAAAACACAGTTGCTAGGAGAAACTAATACGAAATTTTAGATAAATTACTTAAAATCTGACACAAAAGGTAAAGCTTGGTTTGGTTTTGTTCAAGATTTGGTTCAAATCCCAGAACCTTAGCAGTACATGTCAAAATTCATTACCTTCCCTGAGCTGGCTGCTGAATGCTTCCTTAAATCCTACTTCTGCACTATCAAAAAATATCTAGAGACTTACCTATCCAATAAATTCTACAATCAGAGTGAGATTAATTCTAGTTCATAAAACTGTATTAGGAATCAGAAAGTAGCCCAAATTCATCAGGATTTTACAGCATTTGCAGCATTATGAACTATAAAGGCAATTTCATTAGCTTTGTTTATCTTTGGGCTACCAGTGGACTGCACGGTAATATTGAACTCAGTATTTTAATAAATCATTATTTGAACTTTTATTTCCTTAGAAATATTTTTTTCAAACAGCCAATATAAAATGGTTAGCACAGATGATAAAGCCTTATTAAACAAGATCGTATAAGAAAATTGTAATAAAAAGTAGAATATATTCCCTGCCTCAGGAATAAATAGCAAAGTTATTACCAGCCCACCTAGGAACAAAAGCTGATTTGTGCATGACCACTGACCATGGCAGAATGAGAAATTAGCCCTTGAAGACAGAAAAGAACCCTCCTTTTCTTCACATTGTGTCAGCACAAAAATCCAGCCCACTCTACAAAAAAGACAGAGCTGCAATCACATGAGGAATTTCTGCATTACTTCCCAGCAGCTGTAAGAAAGGGAACTGCAGGCACAGTCCCTGGGGAACTTAGCTACCTAAAATCTATGTGCAGACAGAAGTTTTTCAAAGCTTTAATTTTATGCACCCTGTATGGATTTTCATGGAAGCATCAAGAGACGTGCTGCGGACAGACAGGGCTGCTGCTTGCCAAACGCTGCCTGCCCATTTCAAGGCTCAGCAATAGTAGAGATTTTCAGAGACCAAGAGTCCTCAACATTTTTTCCTAATTTAATTTTCAACAGTTTTGTATGAGAGGTTCCAGAAATAGTCTACCAAAACATTTATCTTTTCATCTTTTAAATAAAATGAACGGATTAACCTTTGGTAAAGTTTTAAAAATTGCAACCCACCTAACAAATGTGAGGTGTTTGCTAATAGGCAGCATTAATATTCACCTATACAAAAGCTCAGTATCACTTCAGAATATCTTAACCCCATAAATCAATCCAAATTATGGAAGTTACCTTTGGAACCAGCAACTATTCAAATTCAAAGGTTTCTGCCTTGAAAGTGTCCCTAGCCAGGTAAATTCCACCCCCCCATCCCACCCCAAATGATAAGTTTGAACATTATTATGTAAAATTACACAGAATCCAAAAGAAGCAGTTATATAAATTAGCATTTATACTATCAAAAAATCTTAACAATTTAATAAGGCTTCAAGAATAGCATTGTTCACCCATTCAAACATTTGTCAATTTTTTTTTCAAATAGCAACACATACAAAATTTCAACTGCTGGGAGAGCAACCACTGCTACTTGTTGATTAAAAAAAAAAACCAGTTTGTTTAAGAACTAGAGTTTTACCACAGAAAGCAAAATTAAATTTTGTAATCACAACAATCACAACAGTTGAACTTCAGTCTAATCCTTTGTACTGATCTGAATGTTTGTTATGTCTATAAGAACTTACCTAGGCTTGCTGTGAGGCATTCCAGATCTGCTAAGAACCCGGGTATTTGCTGAAGCTGATCCTGCAGTTCTACCAGACTGCTCCTTTTCTTCTCCCAGTGTGCAGAAAGCATCACAACTTCACTGTCAACCAGCTGCAACAAACAGGTGTTTAATTGCAAACTTCTGTACCTGTTCATGAGCATCTTGACTAATTTTTTATAATTAATACATTTGGAAGCATAAGGTCAGCACAACAACCCTTACACTGCCACTTGTGTACTCCCCAAGTAAATAAACAACATGCTCAAAAAAATCCCCAGTAGTATGGAATATTTATTTCAAAATGCACTGAACAAAAATATGACAAAAAGTTTTTTCTCAATATACTAATCAATGCAGGAAGTATTTAATGGATGTTATTAACTGTAAGCAAGATGTACCTGAAATTTTGCCAGCAGTGTTGCATTGGTGCACAATAACAACATCGCAGTGCTGCGATTTTGGGCATATTTATATCAATAGTTTAATGTTGCCAGTCATACCAATTTCATCTTAACAATAAAAATGAAAATTCTGCACATGCAAAGTAGTCTAGAAAATAAAGTAAAAGGAATGACATTTAAAAAAAGTTGCCTTTATAACATTACTGCTCTTCTGCTTTTGTGACAAACTGCAGCAGTGCCAAGTTTTTATGAACACATTTCTACATTACTTAAATTCTTGTTGTTTCATTCTTCTTAACTTTTATTATATAATAAGCTAAGAAAAGGATACACTGCTTCAAAGTCTCACTCATTTTCTATGAAAAACACCAGAATTAAGAGATCTTAGGTACCAAATGTTTCCATTATATATAATTGAGTTGATTCAATTATTGTTTCCCTGCTCCTAATTCCATTACCCATTCTTCCTCTTGCACACAACTACAGCCTGTGGCTGTATTTGCATTCTGAATTCCTCAATTTCTATAGTCCTTATAGGCAGAACTGAAAAAGTCTGAGCAATGGACAAAGGAGCTCTCAAATGTACAATTCTACCCACTTTATATAAATTCTTTTAAAAGAACAACTATCTTTTGCAAATTCTTCCAGCTACCTATCCCTGTTAATAAAACATCCTGTTTCACCAGACAAGTTTTGAAAACTTATTCCAAAGCCCAGTGAGAAATGGAACACTTTAAAAGACTAAACAGTCTTACTTAACTAAAGCCAGGTCTATTTCTGAGCCTGGGATACGGTATTTATATCCGTTAAACAGTAAAGCCAACAAAAAATCCCAAAACAAGACCCCATGAGATGGGGACAAACACCACAAACATTTCAGCCCTGAGATAAATGAATGCAGGTGAAATGATAATCATCTAAAAGGACAATTTTGTGCATGGAACTGGTAGTTAACATCTACCATTTAACATGGTAAGACTGTAAGCTCTAATTGAAGCCTGAAATTTTCACTTTACTCAACATTTATAAATAAGACAGCACAAGTAAGCAGAAATTGGATACTGGACAAGTGCACCTTTAGGTCTTCTACAGCACAGTCAATCTTCTGTGCTTACACAGTTTTTATTCTCCCCTTTTATAAGAAAAGTATAAAACAAAATTCAACAAGCAATGCATACACTGAATTGTGTGTAAATATCTGATTTTAAAGGAAAATGTAAGTCTCTCTGAAGTTTTTCATTCTCATTTTCCATAACAGCCATAACATGTGAGATTAGGTAATATTAGTTTAATATATATGAAACCTCACATTGTTTTCAAAATTGCAATTTTTAAAGCAAACTATAGCAAATATTATAAAATTGTGACAACATCATTTATGAGATTTTCTAGGAAAAAAGAACATTATGAGCAGTAAAACATGCCATACTGGCAAGGAGAACTCTATCTCCCATGCCTGAAGGTTTCCACTAGAATGCAGGGAAAAGCAGGGCCATACCATTAGGCAAGAGAAAGAAGAACATAAGAGACTTTCTTTCTTACTGTCAATACACAGTGAGTGATTTTTCCATTAAAAAAAGATATGGAGTAGTCTCTAAGTGAAGAGAAGAGCCAGGAAGGATGCACTCAGCTAAAGTGAAGGTTTCAGACAGCTCAGTCCTGCTCTGCATCGTGGCCACCCAGATTACACTGTCTGCCCCTTAAACATGGCTTGAAACTGAAAGTCTGATGCTGAGTAATGCATCGGTAACACTTACTGGAAATTTCCTTCCCCTTCATTCCACAGATAAACCACACAACTTGTGACTTTGCTTCCAGGGCAGGACTAGTGAATGAAATCAGGAGAAAGCACAAACACTTCCCAAATATTTTCTGTTGATCAAGGCAATCTTGCTGTCTCTTGTGCACTAGGAGTGGGCAGCAGTGTCAATACCACAGCCCTGCCCTGATGCAAACCACTAAGGTGCCTCAAGCCCAAATCCATTCTGTACTTTCCCAGCCACCCTCCACTGCTTTTAAAGAGCTAGAGCAGTAACATATCATCTTTGCAACTGTTTACATTGCATCAAGTTTTTTATTATTTCACATTTGCATTACATTGTTGTTTACATTACTGGGGGAGTGAACAAAGCTGGGTGGATGTTTACCTAGGGGCCAAGGTTAACCTTGTAGGTGGGTAGTAAAAGTTTTAGTTTAAAATTATTTACACATTTAAAAATATTTCATGCATGGCATTGTTATTTTTTCTTACCTCTCCAGCTTTTGCACAATCTTTGGCTCCTTTATGAAGGGCAGCCCAAGCATCTTCGTATCTGAAGAAGAGACAAATTACTACTTCGTACTGTGCTCTCCTTACAAAGGAATTCATGGATGTCACTGTGCTTATATTTGCAGGTACTACCAGAAATTACAGCTTAAAAAGCCATGTAATTCTTTCCAGTACTTACTGTTCTGCCAAGACAAATATACAGTGAGAAATAATGTGTTTTAAAGAAAAAGCAATTCATGTTTTTTAACCTGCTAACCAACATTAAAAGCTAAATGGACCAAACAATACTTACAAGACAACTCATCACCTTAAACATCACTTGGAACTCAACTTAATTAAGAAAATTTTTAAAAATAACATGATTGTAATCATACATGTACCACATCCAATTAAAAAAAAAATAGGAAATTGTATCAAATATGTCTAAGGTATGAAACCGCAGACTAGGACTCAGTGCTGGCCTCCTTCACCTCTCTGCATTAGTCATCTTTTAAATGCAACTTTTCCTCCCAGAACTTCAGTTACATTAACATGACAACACTTGAGGATTGGGCAAGCTTTAAACACATTTATTATTTGGTAACCACTCCCACACTTCTAACTGCAAAACAACCAAAAACCTAGTGGCAACACTTTTATTTTCCTCTCTAATTTCTTTCTTAAGAAATTTGATTTTTTAAAATCTAACATATGAAGCAAACACTAATAAAGAAAAGTAAGGTCATACCTGCTTAGTAATTCCAGTCCAGCAGAAAACTCTGGCAAACACTGAACAGTTCTATAGAACAAATTGCAAATGTACAAAATTGTTAAAGAAAAGAAGACTGTTATAAAAAATGTGTGCACACACATCTGATAGATATGCTGAGCATAGAAATGTTTCCTCCTGCTCCTACTTTCACACTTTGCCAATTTTGGTTTAAAATATATTACACGGTGTATCTTACAAGAATATTTCAAAGCTTTTTTCTCTTGTTGTTTTATGATAGCCTATTCTTACCTTTTTTCAACCATGTCCATTAAAAACAAGTTTCATTAAATAATTCCTAAGTACAGTTAACAAAGACACAGGATGAAGGTAATTTTAACCTAAAAAGGGGCACAGAAACATTCTGAAAAAAAAAAAGACTACTACACAAGTTCATGTCCCTCAATACAGATATTCCACTTAATATATTCTACACTAAAAATAAATACTAAGCTAAGGAACCTTTGCCAGTTTAATGCTCTAATGATCTCCTATTTGATGCATACACTTCCATTAATAACAGCTTGAAGTATCAAGACATCTTATAATAAGTTATAGAAAATTAACAATACAGTACTTCTAAGGATGTGAAGATCTTAATGTCATCCAAAATTTGTCTCTTGGAAGATCACCCCAATAGGCTGTTCTGCATTATCATCCAAACAATTTGAATGGGGAAAAAAACCAAAAGTACCAAAACTAACTACCATAAATTAAACCTTCTTGTCCTTAAAGCAAGGGAAAAGTGACACAAACAGTGAGGTGGAAAGGGACCTCAGGAAGTTCCTGTTGCAATCCCCTGTTAAAACCAGCTATGAGATCAAAGCAGCTTTCCCAGGAAGCTTTTCTCAGCTTTTCCTGTCTGATCATCTCTTGTTTGAACTTATGCCTATCACCTTTTGAGCTCCCACCACACACCAGTTTCCTCAATTACCACTTCACGTGCAATGGCAGGCTGCTGCTAGGTCTCCCAGCAGTCACCTATTCTCCAGGCTGAACAACTGCCCATCTCAGCCTTTCCTCATACACAGAGTTCCTGCCCCAACCATTTTGGTGGCCCTCCACTGAACGCTCCAGAATATTAATACCTTTCTCAAACTGGGGACCAAACTGGACAGGGTAGTTAGTGGTCTAAGGTGTGCTGAATGCAGGGAACAATCACCTTCCTCAATCCCACTGTCGGGGTGTTGTTAGCAGCTCCATTAGCTGTTGGACTTCCCTGCTGCAAGGCATGTCCCTGGCTCACATTCAGCCTGCTGTCTGCCAAGAACGCCAGGATCTTTTTAGCAAAGTTACTTCCAGATAGTCTGTCAGCCCAGTCTGCATTGTTGCTTTCTTCCCAGGGAAACATGGAATTTGTACCTCTTGATTTTCATGAGATACCTCTTGACACATAGGGTCCTATGGGCTTTTACTTCTTCAATCGCTACTGGTCAGGCTCCTTGACCCCTTTCACTAAGCACAAGGCACTGAAGCCACAAAGGCATTAAATAACTCAACAACCTCTACATTCCCTGTAATTCACTCCATTCATCACTAATCCCATCCTTTCTTTCAGCCTTTTATTAGCAGTGCAGGGCTAGTCGCTCTTCTTGTCCTTGACATCTCTTGTAAATGTCAGTTCCAGGTGAGCTCTGGCTTCCCTAAGGCTATTCCAGCATGCCAAAGAGGTCATAAGGAGGCATCAAGAAGTTATCCTTGACACCCTCCCAGGGCACTTCTTGATTGCATACTGATGGGTTGCACTTTCAGGAGCTGGAAGCTAAAGGCCCCAGCAACAATGGGGGTTTAAATGATACAGAGGATTCCTCAAACTGTTTGGAGAAAACCTCATTCTCTCCCTGGTCAGAGGGTCAGTGACAAACTCCTATTGCAACACCACCACCTTTACTGGCCTCTCCTTGGCTCCCATCCATATGCCCTCAGCCATCCCTACAACCAAGCTAGGCTGTGTTTGTCCCTGAACCTTATCAGCAAAGCCGAAGCCACCCCAGCATTCCCTTGTTCCTGATGCTTCAATTGGTTCACCCAGTGCTCGCCTCAAAAAGCAATGGATATTTATAACAGTACTCCAGGAGAACCAAAATACTGTGGACTGGAAACACACAGAGAAGGCAGTTGCCTAAAACAGATTTATTCAGACCTTCACCTATTCTTAGTTTAGCCTCCATGCCTTGTCCATACACCAGGTCCTCTGTTAAAAAAAAATTTATAACTAAAACATCAGGATTCAGCACTTAGTTTATTTCAGATGTTTTATTTTTACCACTTGGCTTGTTTTTAAACTAATTTGTGTCTACATAGTATGTTTTAATAAGAACATGCTTTACACTAAAGCATATCTGATTTTAAGAAGTAACTCTCACAGATGTCATTTACAGACAACAAGTAGTCTTTCGCTGCAGCTTACACAGGTTGAAAAAATGAGAACTAAAATGCAGAGTATTAAAAAAAAAACCTGAATCAATTAAAGAAAGAAAACCAAATCAGCACAATTATCAAAGCTTCTTGAAACAGAAAACTGAAGTATTTCATTACACACATATCTTCCACAATAAAAAGGCTCCTATTTCTGTTTTCTCCCCCCCCCCCCCCCCCAAAAAAAACCCCTGAGTTACAATTTTAGGACATGAGATTCACAGAGATTGTAAACAATTACATTTCAGTGTACTGCAACCTGAATCTCCCATGAGGTACTACAAAAACACTGCATATTCATTTAATTTAAATAGTAATTTATAAACTGATTGACAGCCATTAGAAATTATTTAGGCCTATCAATGAAGGTTGTATTAAGCAAAGCATCTGCTTTTGTTAAGCTTCTCTGTTGTCAAAATAGTATTTTGTAAAATTATATGCAAATGTTCTTGCAATTGACTCATATATATGAGCCTCTTCAAATTTTTCCTTAACAAGAATATCTTATATTAATGCTATATATTAAGACATTCAAAAGTACCTTTGCCTACTTTTCTTTGCATCTCTTGATTTGTCGCTCAAAGTCTTCAACCTACAAATCAAAACAAATCCATCAGACATTTACAACATCAAAACCAGAGAATTAATTGCTTGAGCACATAATGCCTTAATTCCAGTCTATTACAATTAATTTTGTTTCAGCTTGTTTCACAAATAAATCAAATTTCCCTTAGTTTTGTGGAGACCCTCATATGAATTTATTTCCACTGACACTGCTGCTAAGTCTTGACATTTTTTGTAGAAGTGCATCAGACAATTCAGTATGACAAGTTTAATGGGAGTTGTGTATATAAGTCAGATGTTGATACAATTTCTTTAGCAGGCAGGAACTAAAGACATGCCTAGAAATAACCAATCCAGCCCTGAGGAATACCATTTACAGGAAGGCTCTCATGGCAAGGAAAAGCACGACAGTCACACATACACACGTGCCCACCTGCCATAAGTCTGCCAACACAAAACCAGCAGAAGCTCAACTTTTCTTCTGCCAGCTTTCAGAACCTCCAGCAGCATCACCACAGTGCACTGCTACTGAGCAGATCTGGGGCTTCTTTCACACACAGTCCATTGCAAACTGACTGCTATCTTGCTCCTCAAAAGCAAAAAAACCTCTCCAAACCAACCAAACAACCCTCCCTCCCAACTCTTTCGCAGTCAAGATATATATGTATATATAAAAAAATATACATATTATATATATGCATATATATATTTAATATATATATACACTAGTCAAGTTCACACAGTACAGTGAGAACCAAGCCTGCTGGCTATTCCCTGATCACCCAGGCAATGGCTATCCTCAATTTCTAGGCCCTTTGTGGTCACAAAAATTTTTTATTGCTCAGGACAGTAAGAAATAAATGACAGAGACATAAGCAAGATGGAAATGAACTATGAGAGCCAAAGATATCCTCCACATATGACAGAGAGATCTGTAATCCTGAGTGACCCAAGGACTGAGAAACAACCTAATATACAGACAGATATTCAGGCTGCTTTGAGGATTAGTCAAATCACTCCCCCAGTCTTGATCACTGTTTTCCAGAAACTCAAAGAAACATCAAAGCTCTACAGCAGGTGGATCACAATTTGAGAAAAGACATGCTAAGGCACGTCTCCCCTCCCTCTCAGAGAGCTGCTCACAACAGCCAAGCTAGGTAGCAACAACCACAGCACCCTGAGGAAGAACCCACTGCTGAAGGAAGCTGTGCAATTTGCCCTTCTCCACTGCATCCATTCTGGTTGTTTTTCCTCTTCCTGCAAAAGCTTGCTAACAGGTGAATGGGTCAAAATTCAGATACCTTGCTTACAGGACATGCAGAATTAGACAGCAGACACAACTGAGCAAGGAAGGAGGCCACAGAAATAGCTGACAACTCTAAACTGCTCTCTTTAAACCACACAACCCAGATTTAAACTTTTTCAGCAATACATACATGTTCCCATACTCCTTGGGAAGTGGTATTATTGTCTTAGAAGCCCTGGAAAACCTTTCCCCTCACAATTTCATGAAATTCAACTTGTTCTACTTTGCAAGCATTTATGTGTAGTTAATGAGTTGGCCACAAAAAATACTCTCTTTGGGTTTTGAGAATTATACAATTTTAAGCTGAAGTCTCAACATCACAAAATGACTTCTTTTACCACTTTGGTGGGGTGCAGAACAGAGTAATCCAGAACACCAAGAAATTAGGTTGCACGGTCTAGGAAGGAAGAGGGGGCAAACCAGGTCAACTTGTGTTCTGGATATATGGGAACACTAAAGGAAAAAAAAAAGATGCCTTCCACAGTCTCTGCCACTGTGGTTCTGAGAAACTGGTTCCCAATGGCAAAAAAAAAAAAAAAAAATAGATTACACCACACATGAAAATACCACTTAAACACAGGACACTGGAAAAAGGGCACATAAATGGATTTGCCAAAATACAAAGATGGACAGTATGAAATCAGGAACTGTTCTCAGAAAAAAACATTGCAACACCAGGAAGGAAGCAAAATACATGGAAATATACTGACTCCACTGCAGCAAATATGGAAAACACAAATACAGAACCACAGAATTAAATGACCATCAGATCTGGCATGTTATGACCTTTCTGTTGTTCTCTTTCACCATGTGAAAAACACCCTTTTCAAAAGAGCCTTACACTGTATTGAGATATCAACTCCTTTGAGAAGCAAAAGAGAAAATCAGACAGAAATAAAGCAATATTTTTGTCTGTATTTTTAAGGCAGTTTAATATTCAGTTGCTGTTTGCTAAGATGAGACAGATAACATGTAAGCAATTTATCTGTTTGACTGGCAGCCTCTTCTGTCAGTTTCTCTTGACCATCATACACCGGTATACAACCAAGTAATGATAAACTTATATTTTCAGTTATTTCAGATATTTTCAGTTTCTCGGGTACAAAGACATTCTTCACTATATATAAATATTTACCACAGGGGGGGTATAGGGGTATTATAAGGCAGCCTTAACGCTGCCAAAGACCACACAGTTTTTAAAAGCAATTGATTACAACACAATACTCCCCTGTGGCTCATCATGAGCCAGCAGCTCTGCAGCACAGGCATGACCTTGTCCTGCAGCCACTCGCTGGCTTCCAGCGACACTCACTTGGGCCACCTGCTTGTACTAAAAACAGCATCGATACAGGGCCTCCCCAAATAAACCTTGTGAGACAACGCAGGAAGAGTATCTTTCTACTTTTCAGTGCAAGTGCGGGGCTGTTCCATCCGCTTATCCTACGCTCCTTTTCCCCAAGTGACAGTAACTCATCTTCCAAGGAAAAGCGAGTTTCTCCGCACACCAAGCGGCGCCCAGAAATTCTCTTTAAGAGATTACGCTGATCCATGAAACCTTGAAGGTCGGTAACTTCATAAAAAATTCAAGCGCGTTAATTGACCTCATTCACATCTTCTTTCACAACCGCGGTCTGTCTGACTGTCTGTCCCTCCCTCTCTCTCCTTCCCCTGACCGCGGCTGCTCCCCGGGCACCGCGGCTCCCCCAGCGCTGCCCGCAGCCCCGCAGGGCTCTCCAGCCCGCCATCAGCCCATCCCAGGCGGGAACACGGCGGCACTCGGGACCCTGGAGCCGCCTTTCCAGCCCGTCCCCGCACCCAGGAGGGCACCCCGGGTGACAGACCGGCCCCGGCAGTGCCTCCCGTCTGCGCAATCTCCTCCTCTTCCTCCCTCCCTGTGCCAGTCCACGCCTCCCCGGCCCCCGGTCACCTGCTTTTCCCCCCCCTGCCCGGCCGGGCTGCGAGACGCGGGCCCCTCTCCCGCTGCCCCCGCCAGCCCCGCGGTGCCGCAGGCCATACCCACCCGGCGGTGAGGTCCTGCTGGACGCTCAGCAGCCGCTCTCGCAGCGTCTCCAGCATCTTCCCGGCCTTTCCCGGCTGCGAAGGCCAGCGCCGGAGGGCGGGGCGCGGGCGGGGCTCGGCTGAGCTCCGGCCCTGGTGCCGCCTCCCCTCAGCCCGCCCCGTCCCTTCCGCCCGCCCGCCCGCCCGGCTCCCGGCGCGTCCTGGCGGGGTTGGGAGCGGGCGAGTTTGCCTGGGAGAGTCGAGACTCTCGTTCTGCGTGTCCCGTAGTGCGAGCGTAGGGCTGCGCTTAAAGCCCAAGGGGCATCAAGGGCAGGTCTTGAGCAGCGTGCGAATCCCTGAAGTTGCGGCTTTGTAGAGGTTATTTTAAAGGAAAGCATATTTACAGAGTATATTTACAGGAAAGCACCTTGGCAGGTTGGGACTCTCACCAGAATGATTTTGACTTCAGCGATGGTAGTGTAGGAGTAGCCTCCTTAGCGATACAAAGTTGATCAAGGGACTGGAGCGTCTCTTTTACGAGGAAAGGCTCAGGGGGTTGCACCTCTTCAGCCTTGAGAAGAGGCAACTGAGGGGGAGCCATATAAGTGTCCCATATAAATGTCTGTAGGTGTCCGAAGGGAGGGTGCCAAGAGGATGTAAGCAGGCTCTTGGTAGTGCTCAGCAATAGGACAAGAGGCAACAGGGGGAAACTGATGCCCAGGAAGTTCCACCAGAATACGAGGAAGAACTTGACGGTGTGGGTGACCAAGCACTGGAACAGGTTGCCCAGAGAGGTTGTGATTTCCCTGCTTGGAGATGTTCAAGATCCATCTGGATGCAATCTTGTGCCCCGTGCTCTGGGATGACGCTGCTTGAGCAGGGAGGTTGGACCAGGTGACCCACTGTGGTCTATTCCAACCTGACCTATCCTGTGAACTCAGGGAATCAGGTTCTGTCACAAAATCTTAAAAGTATGGAAAGCAAAACCACTGGATGTCCCTAGGGTGTCCCTAGGGTTGCCAAGTTCTTGGAGTAAGGGATAGATGATAACCTTTCCAAGTCCTTGCAAAGCTGGTACTTGAATTGTTTGTCTGTGTGTCCCTCCACTATTTTCTTTGGAGACAGCTTTATAGATACTAGTGATTCTTACAAACAATGACCTAAAAGAAAAAAGGCTGTTCTTACAAATAGTAAATAATCCAGTGAAAAGTTTAAATTAAATTTCTAGGTACTGTCTGCTCAAATAATAACTGTTTGGAGTCATTCAGCAAATCTTCAGACAGTTTAAGTGGAATCAAGACCTCTTCAGAACAATTGGCCAGTCTTTCTGGATGGCTATATTTACAGTTATAGTAACAGGAAGACAGTCTCACACCCTATGCATCTTCAGTTAATGTTTGAATGACATGGATGTAAGATTTAGATGGATCCAGGAAATCTTAGACTTCCATTTAATTGAGACTTCAGCTTTTAGAAAAAGCTGAGATTTCAAAGTCAAAACATTTTATTTTCTAAACAATTCAATTTTGGTAGAAAAATCCAAAAATATGAAGAGGAGAGCCCTGAAATAATTTCTTACAAGGAGAATGTATGCAGAGGGCCACTGCTGGATGTGTCATTTGATACTGCAGAAGTATATTCAGGAGTGTTTGGAGGTACTTTGAATCAACTGGAAAATTGACACCATAATCCCAACACAGCTTGTGGGCTTTCAGAAGAGTATATGACCTATAAATTGTTTATGCTTTGGCTTATGGGAAAAAAAGTATTGCTCTGTGGCATAAATTCAAATTGAAAGCTAAATGCCTGCTAAAAGAAAAATGGTTGGGTTGATATTCCAAACATTGAAATTGATGTAGCTTGCGTTATCTTGAGGTGAGAAAGACAGCTTTCATGGCAGACTGCCTATAATGTTCTGCAAAAAAAAAAAAGTATGACATTTAGAAGGTATTTTTCTCATGCTTGACCTAACAACAATATCTGAAAATAGAGACTTCCCACTTGCCTGCACAGTTACTTCTTCACAAGGAGGGGAAGGCCTTGAATCAAGTGTTTTCTGATGTATTCACAGACACACATTGCAAATGCTGACAAAAGCTGTGCAATCTGGCCTTATGTAATATATGATATTACAGGAATTAAAGTGTTCAGAAGACAAGGGAGGGGTTTTAACCTTTAATTTTCAGCTTTCTTTTGCGAAATCATATTAATTTCTTCAGTGTTACATATTTTCAATTTTCTTGTGGATGGTTTTTGTCAGTGGTGGCCCTGCTAATTCACAGTGAATAAGCACTTTTAGACTCCATTGCTACTTTTACAGTTAGAAAAACTATTCATAAACTGTTGTACAGTTTTGTTTCACATGTCTGTGTAGGATTTGGGAGAAGAAATGTGTTGAGATAGTATTAACAGTCACTAATTCTAGAAGTACAAGACTGGAAGAAACTTCTAAAAGCACATCCCATGCTCAAGGGCTGTGATGAATTATAAATACACTGTGTAAACTTTGTTTAACTGGTTCTTAGGAATTTAAAATTAAGAAGATTCTGCAAGCTCCTTATCAACTCACATATTTAGCTTGATCTTGTTTGTTTCTAGAGTGAATAGGCCTGGTTTCTTTTTCTTTCCCTTGTAGTCACTTTCCAAACTTCTTTATGTGTTGGTCTGATCTGGAGATTCCCCTGTTTGTCCAGAAAGTGCAGAGCTATAGCATTTCCATCACTAAAGCTGAATTACATGGCTTCATTTCAAACACAAGTTACATATTTATACTAATTTATTAATATTTATGTACACTAGCAATTAATTTAACAAACAGCTCTGAGACAGATCCTTCAGGTGTTAATTCAGCACAGTGCCACCTAAAATTCTGCCAGGGGCTTTGGGTCAAGTTTTTTAGAGATAAAATTAATGCTAAATAAATTTTTAGTATCAATGACCTATTCTGCTCATTTAGAAATTAAGTAGTTCAGGTCTGGTTATTTGATGTTAATTCTGACCTGAATTTGAGCTAGTACTTCCCAGTTTATTCTTCTGCTTCCTGATAAAAACACATCTAGTATCTTCTGCAAATTTGCTGTGACTGGCTATACTGGTCTGTACAAAAAATGCATAGGCATTCTGTGCTTTGCACATCTATAAAGAACACCTATAAAGTGATATAAGTCAGTAACAATAAATTTTTAGAGCAAAACACGGAAATGTGTTTGACTGTATAACCCTTGCGTCAAATGAAGATTTCTTTTCTTTTCTGGATCAGCCTCCCTTAGAGGCATAAATTAGGCTACATTTCTGTAATAGATTTTGCAGCACAAAGTCATCCCTAGTCATGCCTTTCCACAATTCCACCTTTTCCTAGGCTTTAGTGACCCCCATATAGGCTGACTTTAGATTAAGACTGTTCTGAAAGAGTGATACTGTAGACACCAGGCTCATGCCTGTTAAGCTTTTTGGCGAAAAATGATTTAAAATACTTTCCCATTATGCTGATATTAAGTGAAATTTGTTTAGGTATCTATCTGGTTTATGTCTTCATCTCTTCTTTTGAGTGCAGTTAGCTTGATAGCCTCCAATATGACATTCTCAAACTGACTAGAAATAGTGAACAAAACTCTCAGCCCTTTCAGAATCTCTCAGGTTTGTAGAAGTAATTTTTGTCCTCCTTAAGTCTTGCTGATAGTATGGTTTAACAATCTTTATATTTTGGGTGCAAATTTAAGACTTTTTGGTTTTAATAATCTGTAGAACATGATTAAAACTTGACTAGTATATATTATAGCTCTGCAATTCTATACATATTTTGTTTACCTAGCTGGATCTGTACTGATATAAAGCTTAAATATTGTTAGAAATACCTGAGACAAATTTTAATTCTAAAAATCTGCTACTACCATTGTAATTGATAAAGACTTTAATGAAAGTGTATAAAGATCTGATTCAACATTTCTTGCAGGAATTCCATTGCATGCTGAAAAGAAAGGTTGGCATCTCTAAAAAAGTTTTATATGCCCAAAACTTCAGAAGGGTACGTTATATCAGTGAAAACTAAATTTAAGCATTACATCCTAAGAACTCTCTGTCGTAGTCTCACTTATCCTGAGGCCTCATCACCATTTCTAGCAGCTTATAAGAGCTTCCTTTTCCAAATTAACCTTTATAGCTTTCTAATAAGAGTTAATTTCTACTCTTACCTGTACTTACTCTTGGGGTTTAGCTATGTAATGGTCTCTGCAGCTGACATAAAGTTTTTTTGTTATATGAATAGAGAATTTTTTTTTAATCTCAATAAAGGAAGTTGTGAGGAGGGTTTTTTTTTTTTGTTAGTGTGGTTGGTATTCTAATTTTTCCCCCCATATAACTAGCAGAAGAAGAAATGGGCAATAATCATTCTCAATCCTAAAGAGAACTGTAAGAATAATTTCTGTATACCAAGTAAAAATATTCTTAATTCAGTTCATACAAGAACAGGTATGGGACTTAATCTCCAGGTTAATATAGGTTCAATGTCCTGGTTTAGATGTTAACTTTTTAATACACTATCTTTTTTACAGCATGAAAGTGAATTATAATTCTCAAATAATAATCAAATCATGTCTTGCTTCAGTTTCACTGTTTCTGTGAAAAAGACTAGGGGGAGAGGCACATTGTAGCAATAGATAAAAATAATGGTAAAATTCCTTGGTCCTCCCCTCCCATTCTCCTTACATTGTATCTAGTGAATGAAGACACGATGAATTCCCACCTTTCTGAACTGTTGGGAAAAACTAGGGGTGGAGGGAATCAGTGGCTAAGCAGAGTTATGAAGTTAAACAGGCATTAGGATCCTCCTTCTGCTGGACCTTAATTGCTGTTGAGGGGAGGACAAGAGCACATACCTTGGGACAGACAGACTCCAAGGGCAGCCGACAGTTATACCTGACTGGATGAGGTGGTAAAACATGTCCTGATGTGATGGGAGTGACCATCTCAACGTGGCTGCTGTAACTCTCCTAATTCAGTGGGACAACTCTGTGTTTTCTTAATCTTCAGTCACAGCTGTCTGCAGTCATGAAGATGTTGATAAAAATTTTGCTGTCACCACTGAAGCTGGCAGACCCTGAAAACTA